CACTGAGGGAAAAGTTAGTCCCACAGGAGCCAAGAAGGAGAAGTGTCTTTGTCAGGAGAGACAGCTATTTTGATAGTTTATTCTGTGAGAGAAGAGTGTCCAGGCTGGCAGTGGGCAGGGGAGATGAGTGGACCCAGCCCCCAGCCAATGGCACTCGAGTACTTTTGAGTGGCAGTTGATGGGCCAATGGCTGATGGAGTGCACTGCACAGCCAATGGGAGAGCTGGAAATGGCCAATACGTAAGGGAATTACATCCTGCAAAGTGTCCTGCAAAGTGAATATTGGAATCAAGGGGTATACAGTAAGGCATTCGTTCCCAGCCATACATCATCTCTTATTATCAGTACATAGTATTATAGGTTAAGGATTCTGATCTTTATGAAACTAAGAGAGCTAGTGGAGGATAGATGAGGGCAGGAAGGGTTGCGTCTGTGCTTAGTTCTCGTCGTCCTTTCTTACGTGCCCAGGGAAATGCTGGTCACCACCTTGGGGTCAGGAAGCAATTTTTCTCCAGGCCAGTTTTGGCCAGGGATCCTGGAGGGTGGTTGTGTTGTTGTTGTTGTTTTGCCATCTTCTGGGCATGGAACAGGGGTCACTGGGTGTGGGGGGAGGTAATTGTGAATTTCCTGCATTGTGCAGTGGGTTGGACTGGATGACCCTGGAGGTCCCTTGCAACTCTGTGATTCTATGAGCGCTGGAGAAACTGCCTCTTGTCTAATCCTAATTAATAAGCACCCTCCCTCCCACCCAAGATTCCTTAACTTGCTAAGGGGGTAAAACCCCTAACAACTTAACGTTGTCTCGTAGTGGGTTGTAAAACTAGAGGAGAGGGATGCATGCTTATCCTCAGTTCTTCCTCCCTCCTCCCCAGTTTGCCCGTATGGCATGGTGAGGGGTAGAAGTAAAAATACTTCCTGTCATATTGCTTGGCTCAGGTTCAGGATAGATGAACAGCATCCCATTCAGCTGCCAGTGCTATAGCATAGTTTCACAACAGCACCACTCTTCTGAGATAGGTGAGCAGGAAATTACTTATCCAGCCTACAGACACTGCTAAGATCACGCTGTTACTTTGGATGCTAAAGAATTTCCCAGTTCCCCCCCCCCCATATACACACAGACAGCTGTGCATTTTCTCACCAGCCATAGCTTAAATCCTGTATCAGTTCCCTTGTAATTAGTCATTTAACGATGGGGAGAATGGAGGCTGCGAGAGTGTCTAGCCTAAGGCATTATAGTATTTTTTCTTAAAGGAAAAAGCTGGTGCTTATGTTTTTAAACAGTCAAGTTTACTGATGAGGAAAACAGTGTATTTTCAGTCCCTGCCTGATTTCTGTGTTGGTATTAGTTTTCATTGCTGTTTGTCATAAATGGTAGGCCACAGTTCTGACTATGTAATCGTCAGTTCCATTAAAAATATAACTGAGAAGCTGGGGTTCTTTCAGCTGTTCCTGAACTGTCCCATGCAAGTTCTCCCTTTCCAAAACATGAAGCTGCTATAGCCTGAAGTTTGTGCTGCTCAGAATAATACATTCCCTGATAAGCTGTGCAGTTGTCCCATGCCAGGGACTCTGGAAAAATATACAGCAACTGCTTGGGACAATAAAGTAGCTGCTGGGCATGCCTGTAGCTGAAATTTTTATAGTGAGGGAACATGAGTATGCTGAGTGTGTGAGAAAGGCTTGCCGGGTCTACATCTCAAATCCTTAGACATATTGGGAGACACCTAATGATGTCATAGTTGGATTCCATGGCAAGTTGGATTTGGTGATGTCATCTCTATATAATAATCCCCTTAGCATATTGGCTGTTTCCAGGTCTCCCATTGGCTGTGCAGTGCGCTCCATCAGCCATTGGCCCATCAGCCACCACTTAAGAGTACTCATGTGCCATTGGCTGGGTGCTAGGTCTACTCCTCTTCCCCGCCCACTCCCACTTCAGCCACTGTTCCCTGTCAGAATAACTGGCAAACGGCTGTCTCTCCTGATAAAGACACTTCTCCTGCTTGGCTCCTCTGTGGAACTAACTTTTCCCTCAGTGGCTTTGGTAGGCAACCAAGCTTGGTTCTGTCAGTAAAAAGACAAAGGAAGGAAACCCTTTCCAGGCCTTTGTGAGGAACTCATTGGGGCCAGTCCTGACTAGGTTGCCAGCTCCAGGTTGGGGAATTCCTGGATTTTCTGTTTCTAAGGAAGCCAGAGTTTGGGGAGGGGAGAGGCCTCAGCTGAACAGAATGCCATAGAGCCCACCCTTCAAAGCAGTTATTTTTTCCGGGGAGGGGGGGAAGAGATATGTTGTCTGGAGTTCAGTTGTGATACCTGGCAATCTTCAGGCTTCACCTGGAGGTTGGCTACCCTAGGCATAGCAGTTAGTGCTTCAGAGCAGGGTCTGCCAGACCCAGGTTTTTGCTGTGGAAGCTGTGATTTCAGACCAGTCACAGACTTTCAGCATATAACCCCGTCTACTGCCAGCTTGGCCACTTTCCTGTCAGTATAAACTATGAACGGCTCTCTCCTGCTTGGCTCTGCCATGGTTGGCTGGGTACTGAGGTGGGCCAGTGGCTGTCAAACCATTCTTTTCAATCCCCTGCTGTGTGGCTGAATTTTCCCTACGGTTGCCAACCTCCAGGTGGGACCTGGAGATCTTCATCTGTTACAATTGATCTCCAGATTACAGAGATCAGTTCACCTGGGAAAAATGGCTGCTTTGGAGGGTAGACCCTATGGCATTATACCCTACTGAGTCCTTCCCCTCCCCAAATGCCGCCCTCCATAGGATCCGCCCCCAAATCTCCTGGTATTTCCCTACTCAGAGCTGGCAACCCTACTTTCCCCTCAGTACCTGTTGCTAGACATCCAAGCTTGGTTCTGTCAGTAAAAGCCGAGGGGGAGACCCTTTCTATGCCTATTTTGGCCTTTGGGAGAAAACTCATTGGGGCCAGTCTTGACTACGGTTGCCAGCTTCAGGTAGGGAAATTCCTGGTGATTTTATGGTAGAGTCTATGGAAGCCAGGGTTTGGAGAGGGGAGAGGCCTCAGCTGAACAGAATGCCATAGAGCCCACCCTCCAAAGCTGTTATTTTCTCCCGGGGGGGGGAGATCTGTTGTCTGGAGTTCAGTTGTGATACCTGGCGATCTTCAGGCTCCACCTGGAGTTTGGCTACCCTAGGCGTAGCAGTCAGCTCTTCAGAGCAGGGTCTGCTAGACCCAGGTTTTTGCTGTGGAAGCTGAGTGGGTGATTTCGGACCAGTCACAGACTTTCAGCCTAACCTACCTCACAGGGTTGTTGTGCAAGTCAAAAGGGGGAGAGGAGAATGATGTTAGCTGCTTTGGTCCCCATTGCAGAGGAAAACTATACTTTTCCTCCTGGAGAACCATTGTTGCCAATCTCAAGGTGAGGACTGGAGATCACTCAGAATTACAACTACTCTCCAGATGGCAGAGATCAGTTCTCCTGGAGAAAACGCTGGACTCTGTGTCCTTATACCCTGCTGAGAGGTCCCCCCCATGACAGCCAATGTGATGTAGCAGTCAGGGCTTCAGAGCATGGTAGAGGCTGCGGGTGGTTGGGGTAGACGGAAAGCTGAAGAGTGCGGGGCAGATAATGGCAGGTTGGCTGGGAAGGAGATAGAGTTGCTTGGCTGGGAAGGAGATAGAGTTGCCAACTCCAGGTTGGGAAATTCCTGGAGATTTGAGGGGTGGAGCCTCGAGAGGGTGAGATTAGAGGAGGGGTGAGACCTCAGACAGGTACAATGCCATAAACTCCACTGTCCAAACCAGCCATTTCCTCCTGGGGACCCATTGTTACCAATCTCCAGGTGAGGGCTGGATATCACTCAGAATTACAACTGCTCTCCAGGAGTGAGGGGGGAGGAGATGGAAAGCTGAAGTCAGAGGGGCAGATAAAGGTAGGTTGATGGTTGGCTGGGAAGGAGATAGGGTTGCCAATTTCAGGTTGGGAAATTCCTGGAGATTTGAGGGGTGGAGCCTGGAGAGGATGGGGTTTGAGGAAGGGTGAGACCTCACACAGGTACAATTCCATAGACTCCACCCTCCAAACTAGCCATTTCATCATGGGGAACCATTGTTGACAATGTTCAGGTGAGGGGTGGAGATCACTCAAAATTACAGCTGCTGTTCCGGTAACAGTCATCAGTTCCTCTGGAGAAAATGGTGGACTCTGTGTCATTATACTCTGCTGAGGTCACCATAGCAAATTGACGCTGAGTGCCCAAGACCGGGGCACTCTCCCAGATCCTCTTTCTAGAACTCATTGTATTTATTTCCACAACGGACCTTATTCCTAGTATTGAATATCATCATTAATACTAATTCTTTGACACACCACTAAGTATGTATAACATGGTGGGGTGAACCTTACCACTAGGTTTGAAATATAATTAATTGAATTTTGAAATGATCATACAAAAATGCATGGTGTTCATTTATTGCTGTGTCTCATTTAGAATAAAACAAAGGATGTTTTCTCATATTGATTCCACCATATAAAAATGCCCAGATACGTACAAGTTTCTAAAGAGGTGCAGAAATCCCTTGACATCCAGTGCTACATTACAGTATAATTAAACAACAACAGGTATTATATTGTTCTGCTTGTGAACAGGGTTGCATTTGGGCCAGTGTTCACATGGGTTTTTTTGGTACAAATCGATGGTTAGAGAGCGAAGAGAATTGTAGGCATTTCTGTAGCTGCTCATCATTAACAGCTTATGCCATGAAGCACAGCCCTGCCGCATATTGTGTTATATTGCATTTATCCATAGTAATCAGGGCTGAGTTGCATGACATATTACTGCTCACATAATTAATCATGTTTGTATGTCTCATACTCTGGTGGGAATGAAGTGAGGATTTGGTCACGCTTGCACACGGGTCATCACCCATATGAACTTTGCCCCTCAACCCCCAAGTCTTGTGTTGACAAAACTATGCTTAGAAACTTGTTTTTTTTATATAATGAATATTTCTTATTTTTTCTTACAGAAAATGCTGGCACAGAAGAGATGATTGTTCATTGACATTAAGGCGTGGAACTGCCCGTTGAACAAAGTCCTGACCAGGCAACTTACGAATGGCCCAAGGAAGCCAGCAAATTGATTTTCAGGTTTTACATGACCTGCGTCAAAAATTTCCTGAGGTACCTGAAGTTGTTGTGTCCAGATGCATGTTACAGGTCAGTGCTATGCTATTCTATTTATGGAGGCACTGTAATCCAGTATAGTTGTTTAAAAAGTACTTACAAAGGCTCTTCGAACTAACTTGCCACACAGGTGTCTTTAGTAAACTTATTTCCCACCCTGATTTATTTATGTTTATATTACATAAACTTGCTTTTAGAAGTTATGACGTTTCTCTTGTCACGTTACTTACAATTTTGGAATCTAACCTTCTAAAACTGCTGTGTCCCCTAATGTAAAAAAATATGTGCAATTCTTTTCATAAGAATCTCCTGTGTAAAACCGCTTGTCATTCCAGGAATCTGATCAAGATACTACCCAGGGCTAACCCTGCTTATCTTCCGAGATCTGATGAGATTGTGCTAGCCTGGGCAATCCAGGATGGGATAGAAGTTTTGGGGACTTTATTACCAGTCTCAGTGATATTCCATTCTCTCTGAGCTCAGAAATGGGGAAAGACTGTGAAGGACTACTCCCCACCTGGCCTTGACCTCCTCTGATTCTGCCTCAATGTGGGGAAGGATTGTAATGGCAGGGTCTCCCGTCCATCAATCCCAATGTTTTTAGCATGGGCATCACTTTTAATAGTGAACTTGATGGTCTGTGCCTGTCAATAGAGCAGTGAAATGGAGCCAACCACAAGTAAAGAAGGGTTTTTCGCATTTTCAGGGTAGTAGTCAAAGTTCAGAGTAGTAGTTGTGGTAATTGTTTGTAGCAAAAACAAACTCAGAAGTCTTGTGGCACTAGACTATAAGATTAAATCACAAGATTTAATCTTTTATTGTGTCACAAGACCCCAGGTTGTGTTTGCTGCATGCTGAGAGTCCCCAGGTATGCCCCTCCCCCCAAATTAGGTAATTAAAAACAAAAAGAATCTAAAAAAAAATTTAAAAAATTGGTGACAGCAGCCCAACTGGTATCAAGCATGCTTATTGCCCTGTCTCAGGAGCCTCAGAATGTTGATGTTAGTTGAGCACTGTTGTTGCTGTTTTTAAATAAAATGGGGGAGTTAATTTGGCCCACTGAAAATCCCTAACATCCTTAAGGGGAGGGTTAGGGGTAGTGGGTCTGTGCCATGAGACATCCCCCATTCCTGACCTACCCTTTCAAGAATGCAGTAGAACAAATTTAGAGTCTAGTGGCACCTTTAAGACCAACAGAGATTTATTCAAGGTATGAGCTTTTGTATGCATGCACCCTTTTTCAAGTCCATTGGAATGGCAGTTAAGGTTCAAACCTATAGCAAGAGAATGAACAGAACATGTAACATGATGATGTTCAAGATATGCAGAGTGAAAACTAAACTACAATTTAGTTTTGTTCAACTAAATAATAAGTTAAGGTTATACGGTCAACAGTTGTAAAGCAATAAATATGTCAAAATAGCAGATAAATGTCCAAAGGTGTCTTTTCTAATTGTGGGAAGTAACTAAGAATCTTTATTCTCTCCTCTCAGGCATGGAGGGCATTTAACAGCAGTTTTTGAGGGGGATGTAGTGTTATGTCAGCAGAATCCCAATATCCCTTGCATTACATTCAGTATTCTAATATACTATTCTGAAAAAGAAATACACTAAAATACAGAGGATTTATAGTCCTTGTTGAGAATACATACTTGAGAACTGAATGAGTTCGCATATGTAATGGGATAAAAAACCAGTATCCCTGTTGAGTCCTGGAGAGGTTTCCCTTTCCATTCTGTTCCTGAAGTTCCTTTTAATAAAACAGCTACTTTGAGGTCACCCATTGAATGTCCTGGAAGGTTGAAGTGTTCTCCTACAGGTTTCTCAGTCTTGTGATTCCTGATGTCAGATTTGTGTCCATTTATCCTCTGGCGTAGGGTTTGTCCTGTGCGTCCCATGTAGAGAACCAAAGGGCATTGTTGACATTTAATGGCATATACAGTGTTAGAAGATGAGCAAGTGAATGATGGTGTAGTTGATGCTGTTAGGTCCAGTGATTGTGTTGTCTGGGTGTATGTGGCAGCAAAGTTAGCATCTGGGTCTATTGCAAGCTCTGGTCCCAGTGACTATATTCAAATTAGAAGTTGCATTATTGTGGGTGAGGAGTTGTTTGAGACAGGGGAGCTGTCTGTGTGAAAGAAAAGGTTTGCCCCCCAGTACTTGTGAAAGAGAACTGTCATTATCCAGTAGAGGTTGTAAGTCGTTGATGATGCGTTGAACTGTTTTGAGCTGTATGTGACCACTAGTGGTGTTCTATTATTGTCTCTTTTGGGCCTGTCTTCTAACAGGTTTTCTCTGGGTATCATTCTGGCTTTGTAAATCTGTTTCCTGACTTCATCAGGTGGATACTTTAGTTCCAAAATGGTATGTTGTAGATCCCTCAGGTGAGAATCTCTGTCTGTAGGATTGGAGCAGATGGCTTTTCTGCTGTTGCTGCCACCGCCATCTTGAGTGGTGTCTGGTGCGGTCTTGTTCATCCGTGGCCATCTGACTACAGCTCTGCTCTGCATTCTTGGGGACTGAGCCGGGGGAACGACCCCAATACAAGAGCTAAGTGGTGAAAGAAGCGTATGTGCAGGCCGAAGCGCAAAAGGAGAAAGTTGAGGCAGAGGTCCAAGTAGACATCTCCTGTAGTGTTACTGAAGCTGCAGAACAGAGCATGGAATGGTAGCGCTTGGGAAGCTGACTTCCAGACAAGGCCTGCTGTTTGATGCTACTGTTAGAAGACTCCTTGCCTATCTTCAGGAGCTTCCAGTTTGGAGAGCCAGTTTGGTGTAGTGGTTAAATGTGCGGACTCTAATCTGGGAGAACCAGGTTTGATTCCCCACTCCTCCACTTGCACCTGCTGATGTGACCTTGGGTCAGTCACAAGCTCTGGCACAGCTGTTCCTGAAAGAGCAGTTTGTGTCAGAATTCTCTCAGCCTCACCCACCTCACAGGGTGCCTGTTGTGGGGAGGGGAAGGGAAAGGAGTGTGTAAGCCGCTCTGAGACTCCAAGTGAAGGACGGGGTATAAATCCAATCTCTTCTTCATCTTGAAGCATAGGAGCTGTTATCTGAAAAGGGTGCTGGCCCTGAGCTTTACTATTCTGGACTGGTTCTCTTCTTTGCGGCTTGATGTAGTGATTGTATAAAATAAAACCCATGGGGGGGTAGGATTGGAACAGATGCAACTGTAGCATAGAGCCTGGCTGTATACATTGGATCATTTGGTATGTTTAGGATGGTAGCTGGAGGCATGTAGGTATGTTTGTCGGTAAGTAGGATTCTGGTACAGGAATCCTGAGAGTCCCTTGGACTGCAAGGAGATTAAATCAGTCAGTCCTAAAAGAAATCAACCCTGACTGTTCCCTGGAAGGCCAGATACTGAAGCTCAAATACTTTGGCCACCAAACGAGAAGGGAGCACTCACTGGAGAAGACCCTGATGCTGGGAAAGAATGAAGGAAAAAGAAGAAGGGGACTGCAAAGGATGAGATGGTTAGACAGTGTTATCGATGCATCAAACATGAAATTAAGCAAACTCCGTAGCACGATGGAAGACAGGGGGGCTGGTGTGATGTGGTCCATGGGGTCGCGAAGAGTCAGACTTTACTGTGCGACTGAACAATGACAGCTATGTGTCCATTGTTTACTTTTACAGTAGTGTCCAGAAAATGTATTTCTTGCATGGATTGGTTCATTGTCAGATTGATGGTGGGGTGAAAATCATTGAATGCCTGGTGGAATGTGTCCAGGGTTTCTTTACCATGTGTCCAGACAATAAAAATGTCATCAGTGTAATGCAAATATAAGAGAGGTATGAGTGGGTGGGAGTTTAGGAAGCATTGTTCCAAGTTGGCCATAAAGATGTTAGCATATTGTGGGGCCATGCGGGTGCCCATGGCTGTACCATTGATCTGGAGGAACAGGTCGTCACCAAATCTGAAGTGTTTATGGGTGAGAACACAATGGCACAGCTTGTTGGCAAAGTCAGCTGTGTTTTTGTCAGAAATCATGTTCCTTATGACTTATAATCCATCTTTGTGTGGGATGTTGGTATACAGAGATTCCACATCCATGGTGGCTAAAATAGTATTCTCTGGAAGGTTGTTCAAAGATTGTATTTTCCTCAGAAACTCTGTGGTGTCATGAACATAACTAGGAGAATTGATGGCATAGGGTCTTAGAACAGAGTCCATGTATCCAGATACCCCCATGGTGATAGTGCCTATTCCTGAAACAACAAATATTTATTTATTTATTTATTTATTTATTTTATTTGTACCCCGCCCTCCCTGCCGAAGCAGGCTCAATGGAGTGTCCTGGGTTGCCTGGTTTGTGTATTTTGGATAGAAGATAAAAGGTACCTGGTCAGGGTTCCAGAGGTCTGTCTGAGAGGATTAGTTCCCGAATGTGCAGTGGTAATTCCTTGATAATCTTGTATAGTTCTTTTTTGTATTCCTGTGTGGGGTCTGAGTCCAATCGTTTGTAAAAAGCAGTGTTTGAGAGTTGTCTTTGAGCCTCTTGGATGTAGTCTGATCTATTAATGATGACAATGCGCTCCCCCTTTGTCTGCTTCTTTAATGATAATATCCACATTATTCCTGAGATTGTCTATGACCTCCCTTTCAGCATGGTTGAGATTCTGCTGCACGTGATGTTGTTTGTTGATCACCTTGGTTTGTACTCTGTGGTGAAAGCATTCTGTGTAAAGATTCAGTGTGGTATTGCGACCATCAGGAGGGGTCCATGTGAAGTCTCTTTTCTTTTAGTGTTGTTTTGATGGTATGTAGTGGTAAGTATCTTGTTCATTAGTGGATTGGAGGGATGGTAACTGTTCTCCAGTAGATTGTGTGCTGGTGTGCTGTGAAGAGGCTGTCTGCTGTTTCTTGTTCTGTTCTTGTGTATGTTGGAAGTACTCCTTCAGGTGTACTTTTAGAGTTTTAGTATTTTAGTGTATTTCTTTTTCAGAATAATATATTAGAATACTGAATGTAATGCAAGGGATATAGGGACGTCTGCTGACATAACACTACATCCCCCTCAAAAATTGCTGTTAAGCGCCTTCCATGCCTGAGAGGAGGATTAAGATTCTCAGTTACTTCCCACAATTAGAAAAGACACCTTTGGACATTTATATTCTATTTTGACATGTTTACAACTGTTGACCTTATAACTGTAACTTGTTATTTAGTTGAACAAAACTAAATTATAGTTTAGTTTTCATTTTGCATGTCTTGAACATCATCATGTTACATGTTAACTTGCTGTTCATTTTCTTGCTATAAGTTTGAACCTTAACTGCCATTCCAGTGGATTTGAAAAAGTGGGCATGCATACGAAAGCACATACCTTGAATAACCTTTGTTAGTCTTAAAGGTGCCACTGGACTCTAAATTTGCTCTGCTGCTTCAGACCAACATGGCTGACCAACAGGAACTATATTCAAGGATTCAGTAAGCTGTTAGGGACTCTGGCTACTTGTAGGCTGAAAGAATCCAGGCAGAGGATGGTTTAGGGCTGCAGGAAAAGTGCTTCATCCAGACATTATCAACCACATGCTTACATACCCAATCACTCAACTTCAGAGCTAGATGAACAGCATCCTGGTCACCTCACTCCAAATCAGCAGTCAGAGCATAGTGTTAGACTATTGAAGTTCAATACTGAGTGAGAATGAATTTGTTCATCTAGCCCCAGTGTCATGCTGTGAGGAGATCCTGATTTGTTTATCTCTTATGCTCATTCTCAGACATGCACATTGCTTGCAGGACCCCCAACATGTTATATTACTTTGTAATATGATTGTTGTATTTGCTGCAGGAAGACTATAGAGCCTTAGGGATTACTTGTATGATTGCTATTCTTCTAGCTTAAAATGTTAGTTGGGGTGTCTGTAGCTTTTGTGAGTTATTGTGTCACTAAGATCTGCAAGCAATGTCAGCTCAGGTTAACTTTTTTCCAAATTCTGAAGTTCTAACATAAATCAGGCTACATAGAGGATATATGCACACACACACATATATGTATTCCTACAGATACCAAGAATGTTGCTTTCCTGTGACCTTATTCTTTGACTCCAGCATCAAATTTTAAGTTCCATAGATTTTATCAGTGATAACTAAATATAACAAAAAAGTACTTCCTTAACGTTTAGTGTTCCCTGTGCCAAAATGCACCATCATAATATTATCTTATGACTTGGTTTTTAAACCATGCTTGCCATGTTTCTTTTAGTCAAGGCAACATTTCCCCCTCATTATGATTCTAAAGAAAAGGAAGATATTCAGCAAGACCACTAACTTGAAATCTAAGGCTGCAGTTCTATTCTTACTTATTTGGACAAGTCTCCTGAATTTTCAGAAGCACTGAAAACACTGTCAGTGATATAACACTGCAATAGTTGATTCTAAATTTTTTAAAGGGAGGGGTTCAGTGCACTGCAGAAGGAGAGCACCTCAGTTGCCATCTTGCTAGGAACCTTTCAGTGGTTAGGGGGCAGGAGAATTGGCCTTGGAAGATACCTGCCCAATTACAGGTGTCATTTGAGCTGAGTGTCCTCCACCAAAAAGTTTCTGTCAGCAACTGAGGGGGCTGCCAAATTGTTGTTGAAAGGATCCAGGAGTATTTACCTTTGATGACATGTGTTCATATTCTGTCTGCCTACAAGATCCAGCCTCTCTGACACTCTTATAACTAGTTGTGTATTAATATTTTATCAGATGCTATAACCACTTGCGCTGATCCTGCTTTCAAATGTTACCACCAGTTAATCATTTCAGCAATAATATCATCTAATGAGTTTTTAGTATTCCATCATTTTAGTTTTCCTTGAACAAAGATCCGCAGTTTGGGTCCCATTACTAATTTGAGTATATATTTGGGGGGGGGGTTTCCACCTCATTTTCCTTCTCTGTCTCTTAAAAGTTCCACTGGTATGACCCCCATGCTGTGGGTCATGAGTTATCAGTTTAAGATCAGTGTTGTTTTTAACTTTTACATTATAGAGCCTTAACACATGCTTTTTTGTGGTTTCTTATAGAATAATAATAATTTGGATGCTTGTTGTGCAGTTCTGTCTAAGGAGAGCACAAAGTATCTCTACGGTGAAGGAGACATTGGTTTTCCAGATGATTCTGGGATTCCTGGTCTGCGAAATCACATGACATCCCTTAATTTGGATTTGCAGTCACAGAATGTGGTTCTCCATGGAAGAGAAGGAAGTAGAATGAATGGAAGTAGGACTTTATCTCATAGCATCAGC